ACTGGCTACTCGAGTCTGCGCGCCCAACGCGCCCTCTGCCGTGATTCACGCGCACTTTCTTCTAGCCGTGGTGTCGGCAGCGACGGCGCGCGCGACACTGTTGGCACGCTAGAATCGCCCGCCTGCAGCTGCGTTGGTGTTGGGTTCGAATCCCGGGTCGACGCAAAAACAGTGTTACATACCGCGCTAACTGTGTCACACTCCAGACCCGCAACAGTGCAGTCTGATGCAGATTTCAGACTCGGCTTCCAGGCAGGTGGTAATGCCCAGCCACCGTCTCTGTTGAAGTTCGGACGACGGCTTATTTCGTGAGTAAGCCGAAAACATAATAAATAATTTAGAATGTCTCACGAAAGTTATAATAAAAATTTAACAAGTGTTGGAGAGCCATGCTTCGTCACGAATGGGTCGGCTCCACCGGGGTGATACCACGGCGTTGTGTTTCGCCGAAACAACCACAGCGTTGAGTTTCGCCGTATGAGTGAGGTTACTGGAGGCCCAATCTTTCCCCTCCCCCGATCCCTAAATCTCCGAATCCCTAATCCCCATAAGGTTGGCAACGCACTCATCACTTCTCCGTTGCGGGTGTCCATGCGCGGCATTGATTGCTTTCCATCAGGTAATACGTCTGCTCGTTTGCCGACCTATCACATAAAAAAACAAACTACATATTCAACTGTCTTTTACCTAACTATATCACTATACAAATTCACTGCATGATTAAATACCTACAACATTTGCGTATCACATAAATATGGATTCTCCAAAATGTAGGTAACAGCTTATTTCTGTATTTACATTCATCATCGCAAATAAATAGCAATTTGATTCTATTCTGTTCTATTCATCGATTTCTGAATATAATATTATATATCGCCAATAGAACACTCTGTAGTTTATTCTAAATCTGCATATGGTGGCGGTGCTTGCCGTTTCCTCAGGGATGTAATATTTTGTAATTACGAAATATTATTTTAGTTTTCCATGAAATAAATTAGACGATTACATTTTTCATATTTAAGTTTTGTGTTTCTGCCTACCAGGCAATTAAGTGATTGAAGATAAACTTTAAATAGATAATGTGAATTTAATTTCAAAGTCCTTTAGTTTTTATAGATTTGCCATGCCTTTCTGTCCGGTCGAACATATATTTCTAAGACACTTTTTTCCAAATCTAAATTCATATTTAAATTATTTATTCACTATAAAAAAGTATGTTTTCTTGTTGAAGCAAGGCAAGGAGATATATTCTGCTACATGCATTTTGATTTTCATATCAAAAATAAATTGTAATTTTGGGTGTTCCCCGTACTTATTCTCTCGATTTTTTTTATCATATCCTCACATCCACATATCTATGGGATATCTTCCACAACTATAATGAGATTTCAAATATATTAATATTTAATTATTAATATATTTATTTTTTAAACTGAATTTGACACTTTCAGTTTAGTTTAAATATGACCCGCCTGTAACTTCTGAAATAAATAAAGGATAAAACTAAACAAAGAAATTGTGTATATCATCACCATGCAAACATCTTCAGGAAATCGGTTAGGTCAAGTTAGTTTTTTGTTTTAAACGTCATACAGGATCATACTCCATGGTGCTTTTTAAAGTGCCTGTCAATCTGCTTGTCTTTTAAAACATTAGTTCTGTATGTAAATTTATGTGATGTGAAATGAAGTAGAAACTCCAGTTCTAATATACACTGACCTACGAGACACGCTTAGTCAACCGTATTGGAGAAAACTGGCGTATACACTGTACAGGTACCAGCACAACAAACTACAACCAACATTTTAGTTTCGTTCAAATTTTCAACCTTATCATAACTGAATACAGTTGCTAATTTATTAAAGAAATGTCTCATAATAGACTAGCATGATAAGCATAGTCTATACATAAATTCATAGTCGCTCTTAGAATACCGTTCCATATCGTTTCTCCTTCCTCAATTAGTTTCACTTGCATATTCCCAGCGACCGTTGCTACAACAAGACAAGCATGTACCACTGAATAATTTGGAATCCTTTATCCGAAGTCAGCACCGCATACTGACCCTACCAAGACTTCGCGTCGGTTCACACGACCCCATTATCTATTCGGTCCACGTGGTCGTGTTTCATGAGTTAATACCTTCAGCCGTGCCCCCTCTCAGAGGACTCGACGTGGTCGATTAAGTTAATCGGGTCGCCTCTCTGTGGTCATCCTTTGCGTATCCTTGCTAATAGGTAATAAATCTGTTATGTTCCTACTGTGTTTGACTTCTTAGCTCCTACTTAGCAAGAAGTCCTACAAATAGTCCTGTTGATATGATTTGTTTAAAATGTTTCTTTAGTCAGGGGTTTTCCTGAATATTTTGGCTGGTTCTTCGAAATTATGTTTATTTTATATTTTGAAACACGATTTTAAATTTAAACCTTCGACTGCGCACCAAATCTATTGAGGGTTTATTCCTCTGCTAGCGACTGGCACTATTGTCCGTCATGACGGTCAAAGTGTAAATATAATATAAATTTATTTTGCGTTCCTAATATAAACTAGCACTGAAATAATGCATGACATAGTTATCATACTTTTATAAATATCTCCAATTTTAAAATAATTTAATAAACACAAGTACCTATAAAATAAAAACGCAAAAATATCTCATAAAACTTAATAGTAGATACTAAATTTAAAATCTAAGGTTTAAAACACCTAACACCTGCTTGAAATGACATAACCCAACACAAGAGTCATACAAACGCCTAATTATACACACTGACCGATGCAACGTACTCAAGTAATCGCAAGTTTCGTAATCATTACGCGAATGCTTCCGTCCTCGACGACGGCGCTATTGACATTGTGACGGAACAACTTTCTCTGCGGACTGTACGATATAGATTGTACGCCTGGGCTGGCTTGCACTGCCTCCGCCATATTTAATTATATAAGGTTATTCACTTGTTTATTTATAGTGTGTTGCGGATGCAAAATGTGAAGAGGTTTAAAACGTTACAATGATTTTTGAAGCATTGTTGTAACTAAATGGTCTATTCCGTGTTTTAAGACGTAACTGGTTTCTGTGAAGGCATTTTCCTGGTATGATTGTTTAAAGATTTGTTCATTCATAATGTAGAACGAAACTAATTTTCGAACATGGACGAAACTTTAGGAATTCAGGAAAAAATTAAGGAAATTTTCATATCAAGCTTCAACAGGATACCATATTTTTATTTGCAGTTTAGGTTTAAGAAAACGTTAGTGACTTTACATACGAAACACAACGCAAGCGTTGTTTCACGTTTTCTGTCAATGTTTCTTTATTAGTTTATCTATTTGAAGTAGTTATAGTTAATAAATAATAACAAAATTCCATAATACAATATTCTGTGTGTATTGTCCCTTGTGGCATGTGAAGGTCAGTGGTTATTCTCCATAGGCTGTTGACCTTGAGCCAAAACCTATTAAGCTCGACATTGACAGCAACCCCTTTGGAAAAGAAATTATAGACGCAATTACTTAAATGCCATAGATGCATTGAATATCTAGACTTGAGCATTCGATGTACGATAGAATTTATGGAAAAGACCATTAGGGTTACGTGATCTATATATTCATTTAGGGGAGATATCATGTCGACCTGTTTTTCGATCTTGGTTCTCATGACCAATTTTACAGATTCCCAAATAATTGAGTATTCAAAAACTATTTTAATAAATAACGACCAGCAATTACAACAATGGGCAAAAAAATTGCCACTTGCAGACACTATTAAATTGCAATTAGGTAAATGTCTTAGACAAAACTTAGAATAATAAAGTCTTAAATGAACATTACTAAAACTAGAATATTTTTATTGCAAAATGTACCTTTGCCGTAGAATTATTAGGTCCACGCATTTTATTTGAACTTGAATGGTGTCATTATATTCTTCAAGTTTGTTTTTTATGAACATATTTTCTATAAGTAATTATTTTCATGCACTGAAATTTTCGAGTTTTTCTGCTGTCTATAAGAAGTAACTTAACTTTTTTCTTTCTCCTTCATTACTTGGTCCTGATATTGCCAACATGCAAAATATTGTTCCTCATGTCTCATTTTGTTTTTATTTGTCTCAATCAACTAATTACCCATTTTTTAACTATTTTTATTGTGTTGTACCAATAAAATTATATCATAGGTTGGTAGGTAGTTTACTTAGCTATAAAACTAGTATGACACCTTATGTGAACTAAAAGAGAAGTAACAAAATGTAAACATAAAGTTACATAATAATGATCTCTTACATATATTTTATGGAACACACCACGTAACAGATACATAATATTATGTAGATTAGTAAAAAAGTAATACAATATCTAAGCATTACTACTAGATGCATTCATTAGTCGGCAGTGCAGGATGTAACGTAATAATCCGGAACAGAACGGCCGCCTTCGCAGTATTAACTATTGCAATGTTTTAAGCAAGCAAGCTGTATGCGGCAAAGGAAAAGGCGTTTGTTTAATTAATTGACCATGTTAGGATGTATATCCTATGTTCTTGGTGCAAAATTAACTTCCTTAGATTAGAAATATATTTCATTTGATGTTACTTCACTTAAAATATTGTTTTATTTTAAATAATTACTGATTTTATAAAGTTTTGAAGTAAATCTTTCGTAGATGGCTATACTAAGGTAAGAAAATCGCTCTATACAAACATGAACCTGTTACTTAGTGTCCTTTTGCTTAGAAAGAAAAAATAAAAAGTCTTTTTGTTTGGTATAAACTTTCAAAGAACATACCTTTTTGCAATGTAATCCCATTTTGGCACATATTTCAATCGCTTGTCCTTTTATTGTTTATAATAAATATAAAATACTATCGGTGTTCCCCAAGGACCTGTTTTAGGTCCGATACTGATAGCTGTGTTATTTTGTAATCGTAATGAGCGTTTAATGTGCAGTCTGCTACTACAAGTTGTGACTATTGAAGCGAGTGTCGTAACCATTGGGTGGTGGTAGCCAACGTCCTCAGTGCAGTGCCTACCGTCGGACGGAACTAGTGTTGTGAAGTGAATGGTGTACGCTGGATTTTATACTGCGGTAGGTTGGAGTCATTTAATTTTGTTGTATTTTTTTCTTAGTTTTTTGTTGAGTGTACATTTGGATGTGCAGTTCGATTTAAAAAATGAAGAATGGAAAGTGTGTTTTGAGTTATCGTGACAGTTTTGTGGCTACCTACTCGGATTCACAAAATTTAAGTTTTTTTTTAATTTTATCGTGCCAAACTTCTAGTGTTGACCTAGATATTAGTTAACTAGTAATGCAGTTATAAATATGTCAGTGGCCAAAAAGTGACAGCTTTGGAATGGATATTTAAAAAAAAAATACTTGTTTTAAGAGATTTATTATTCTTTTTAAGTAAAAATGTTAAGTATATTGTGTACTATCTGTCACAGCCGGTCACCATTATCATCCGTATACCTACATAAACCAATAGTTTTGAATCATTGAACAAAACCGATATGTTAACCGATTTACCGCAAAATAATTAGCTAGGCATAATTACGCCGAGCCATTGCATTCAATTTAAACCCACAACATATACATTTCATTTAAAGAGACGAATTTATTAATCGTCCCAATGACATTTTAATTAATGATGGTATTAGTGAAATGAGTAATGGTGTAATGGGTTCTGTCTATGAGTCTAGTGAATCTAAAGGGCGAATATTGGGACTTACTGGTTGAAACAAATGTTAGGTAAATCAAATTGATGATAAAAATGTTAATAGTATTGTTTAGTACCCTAAACATAGCAGTGTGGTAGTGCTCTACGAGAATAAAATGGCTTTACGTAATAATTTTCTGGGATGGCATATTAAGCAAAATACCGAAATATTTATGTACAAATAAACATTTCTGTTATTTGTAACGAATTCAGGGAATGTTGTGTCATCCCTATATTTTGAATACTATTTATTTTCTTGTTTAGTTTTACATTCAACAATATCGGTTACATTGTTATCTTTATTGTCATTGGTGTAAGACCAATTGTTTTTAACAGATTCTTGCGGATTTTCCATTTAATTATATTTTATATACTTTCCCCTTGGATACAGGAGAAATGTATAAAGAAATAAATAACCACATAAAAGGCAAGAGAACCGATACATAGTATTAAAGCCTTGACCTAAAATGATTTGGACAGTATCCTTTTATCAAAAGGATTACGCCAAAGGATTCGTCCATACACGGTCAGTGAGCTACTGGATTATAGGTTTGTCTGATTTGACAGACCCTTCTCGAAAATTCTATAAGATTTTCGGGATTGCTTACTATCATTACTCATCAATTTAGCTAGATATATTCGAGTCTTTTCGATATCAATTTTGCTATACCACACTGTATCTACGCAATAATATCTTGCTAGTAATCCCTTGATTGAGCGGTCGCTTTAATTTGTGCTGCTTTGATTTTGAGGGACAATAGATTTTTATGTATTGAAGAAGATTTGAAGATGACTTTTTTTGTTATTAATTTAGTTAAAAATATTACTTTTTACGTATACCTAGTCAATGCTTTTTGATTAAACCGTCGTATTAGATATGGTGGAACTATATACAGATTAACGTAGGTCAGTTGCCTATAGTTGGTAGACTTGTGTAGCAAAACTATGCGTTACAACTACACAACTTAACACGGTTCAGTACCAAAGAAATAAACAAATAAATTCAAAGTAAAGCCACTTACTTACAAAATATAAAAGGTCAGACAATTTTACACATATTGAGCAAGCGGTGTTCGCTTATGACCTCTGTTTAGAAAAAAAGAAGGTTATTTTTCGTGTCATTAGAAACAATAATGTATGAAGGTACTAACCATTGATTGTTAAAGTAAGATCCATTGAATGGAAACAAAAGCTTACTGTTCAATTGTTTTTGATTTTTAAACGGTACGGTACAATGTGACTAAATTAGTAATGGCCATCTAGTAAATTGGAAAAAGTGTTACATACGTATGTCATTGACATAAAACTGAATTTAGAACTTTTTGGATTTACATTTATATCATGAGGCGAATTCGAGAAGGGAATTGTTTGAAACTCACTGACGAAAATCCACCGCGTATCCTTTTTCCTACGTATGTATGAGGACGTGAGACTCCGGATTTTGCCGCAGCACGTACAAAACTCGTTTGACCTCTGTCCGAGTAAGATGTTTAGATTTTGCAGTGACATGATTATCGATAGTAGTACGAAAGCTGGGTTTGAATACGATTTTTGTCGATCCCTGTTTATAAAATCGTATAACGTTGGCTAGATGTTTATGGAAAACCTTACCAAGAATAAGTGTATTATTTATTAATAATTTGTAGTTATTTGATAGGGGTAGACACACACATACTATAATTCCATACATAATGGCCGCTGGCAATAGGCTAGTCCCCCCTTAATACAATGGGATTATTAATTGATGAATAGAGGCTGTTATAGAGGTCCACCTTTGGGAAACTGCGGTACTGTTATGTTATGTCGAAATTGTCTTTTGGAATACAATACGATAAGATATCAGCCTCTTAACTATCACAGCACTATGAGCCTAATCTTACTCTATAAAGGAGAGCCTATTACAAAGATTAGAAGAAATACATAAAAAAGTATGGACTGACTATAATATCAAAGCCATGGCATACCTTAGCTTGATTGATCCTTCAATTCTCTTGAATCGATTATTGTTTGCCTAAGAAGGATGCTGTCCTACGTTAAGTATATCTAAATAAATTAACTTGAAAAATATCGCAATACCACTTACAACCATAATACAGGGTGTAAAAAGACACTTAACGAAGCCGTTAACTACGCATACTCCAGTTCAAACTAAGTAGCTTTACGCTAAAATTATCACTGGGAAACGACTTTCATTTTTAGGTATAAAAATAATAATAATTTTATTGCGCGCAATGTAAAGCAAACGGGCTTCGTGTCATTGTGTGCGAAGGTACACAGCTTAGCATGAAAACGCTGTGATAAGTACGTAGGTCGACGTTTTACTTCGCAACAACAAAACAATTCTGTAAAATAAAAATCCTACTGAGATGCACGATGTTTTTTGTGCGGGTCTGCATTTATTTATTACGTACATTACTGTTCGTAAAATGCATCTTTGAACTTCAATATCTCGAGAACCAGTGGCGTCCCAGCTATGGTCTTAAAGAAAAAAAAAATTATCCAAATAATGGGTAAAATACGTGGCTTTCGGCTTCGTTAAGTGTCTTTTTACACCTTGTATGATTCGAAACTTTAAGATCCTAGCAATCAATAGACATTAACTCTAACAAACTGTTCTTTCATTTTAGTCACAAAGTTCCTTTACTATCTTGTACCCTTCGTTTTCCTTCTGATAGTAATTACGACCGTACTAACCAGTACCACATATAATAATGAATTATTCAAAAGAATATTCTTGTAGATGTTTTCGGCAATATCAACAGTATTTCCCGAATATGCTTCTTGACAGACGTGAGTTGAACCCGTCACCCTCAATAATCATGATATGACCTTGGTCCTTGTGTGTATTTCTTTTTATTAAGTAACTTGTAGTTATTTCTGTTATAGTGTTTGTTTCCTAGTTCAATTTTTATCTAGAGATTGGATGAACTTTTTTGTTGTAAATTACAAATTGATGGGACATTTTGATGTTAAAATTTAGTGTTTTGATAAAATAGCTTTTGAAGTCATCGATTGAATTTGAGTGCCAGACTTTTTCTGCCTAAAACCACCCCGTCTATGTCTTACTGTAAATTAGGTCGAGGATTCCTATTGCGCTTGTAATGTGTACGCGAAACTGAATGTGTATACATCTAACTGTCCTGTCTTAGCAATATCATATTAGGTGTTATAAAATATATGATCAAAGCTTGTGACTGATCCTTACTACAATTTTATCAAACCTACTTCTGTTAAAGTCAGGATACGTAGCATTTTATTACTACTGCTCAACCGGAACCGTGAAAGCGAGCCCATCAGTTATGTAGCAAACCATTGCTGATTGGCACACATATCGTAATAACAAGCCAGTGTTGAAACGTCTTTGGACGTCAAACATCATCGAAGTTACTACTGAAGTACATTGATTGCATTGGGTTTTGCAATTCGGTGCAATGTGACCACGAACTAAATGTTGAGAATTTTTTGATTATTTGCCTAACCTCTTAGAAGTTAGTTTTAAAGTAAACGTTTTACACTATCTGTATCCTTGGAATATTTTGTTTCTGTCGAATAATCGTGAGTGCGGATAGCAAGCGGACGGCGATTTGACTCTTGATTCAGTTTTTAAATGCTGAACAATTATATTTTTATTACAATGGGACTGTGTTGATATTTGTTCACATTGTTATCTGGAGTTTATGACAAAAGATGTTATTTACCGCGTTAGAGTACGTGAATAGAATAAAATAATAAGAATCCAACAAAAAATGCATCTTTAACTTAGTAAAAATTTCAGGTATGCAATAAATTACACAACCAAAAACTCTTCTGTGAATTCACAAAAATCATTCATAAATTTCGAATTTGAATAAAAAAACCCTATAAATAAAATTACCACACAGATTGAGTGTCTACTTACAATATTTATGACCATTAGACGCATCATATCTTAACCTCCTTACCTCACAGCTCCCACAAATCTCAACCTTATCTCCTTGTGATAAGACGCTAATAAACTACATTTAGCACAGTTGTACATCACGTAATATAAATCCTCTTCGCCAATGCTGTGACATGGACACGTACTCATTGAGAAGCTTACCTCGAGAGGGGCACGTAATGACTACAATTGTAGGCACGCGAACCATTGACGCGTCTCTTTGAATAGGCAATAAAAAGTCTTTGTCAAGTGAGCATTGGATGATGTTGTTTATTGATGTTTTCGTTGGAATATTCTCACGCGATACAGTCGAGGCTACGCCTTTCACTTTCGATACAGAGATTACTTGTCACGCATTCGTTTTTATGTCAACAACGTAATGTAGGGTTTAAGACAATGGTTGTTAGGAGGCCAAAGTTCAACGAATCGTTACTATGATTATGGAAATGTTAT